ACTCTGTAACTTAAGTCTTCATCATGGTGAAATCGTAAGTTTCGCGGATGATACAGCTCTCTCCTTTTCTGGCGTAAATTGGAATGATACCTTTTCCAATGCCCAGAAAGGCTTTGATAGGGTCCACAAATGGCTACGTAAGCGTCCTTACTCTAAACGTGGGTAAAATAAAATTTGTAACTTTTGGACTTAAAAAGAATCTCCTTCCAAATCCGTCCCTCTCCATAATGGCGCATTCATGTTCAAACGGCGACTCCTCGTGCGACTGTCCTCCCCTTGTGAGAACTTCCACAGTTAAATATCTTGGCATCCTAGTTGACGAAACTCTAAGCTTCAAAGAACACATGAATATGTTATCTTCTAGGTTACGGAAAATCATATTTTTGTTAAAAATCTACGACACCTTGCAGACCGTAAATTCATTAAATCAGTGTTTCTTGCTTTGGGTCAATCATTGTTGAACTACTGCATCACCTCATGGGGCGGAAGTGCAAAATCACACTTAATTGAGGTTTGCAAGTCAAGTCAGGATTGCAATTGAAACACAAGCACTGGAAATACGACCCTAATGGCAGGGACTTGAGTATGATTTCGAGTGCTTTAAACCATACTCAAATTCCGACTTGAGCATTGAGTAGAGTTCTAGAATACGACCCTTAAAGTATCAGCTGGTCTTCCCTTTAGATTCCCTAAAATGGATCTATATATAACCTGGGATCTACTATCAGTGCGCCATCTATTTGTTCTAACCACCGTACTTAAAAAACATTCAGAACTTACATATAATCCAGATAACCTAGTTGGTAAACGAAGGAAGGGTGCCGTCTGTGTCAATAAGCCTTGTCGTGTAAGACTGAAAACCTTTTGCATCCCACGTTATAATTAAAGTATTGCTCATACATTTACCCGCCCAAATACAAATACCTGCAACACACGCAAGCACACTAGCCCAACTTCTCTTTTACCGAATTACACATACAAATCTATTTACTTTTGATATTTTCTCTTATGAACTTGTATTTCAATTCTCATTCTTTCAAAAAAATTGTAGTAATTTTATTTTATTTCATTTATTTTAATTTTACAAATTGAAAGTAATTAATTAATCACAATGCATTTAAATCCATTTTACTGTTGATTTACTATACCTATCTAATCTATGTAAACTGATTTAACATAAATGTAAGAACGGGGACCTGGTGACCTGTAATACAGGCATTTTTATACCTATCTCAGGCACCAGTCTCTCGTAAATAAGGTTTAATGTAGAAACTCTTTAGTCAGTAAGCATTTATACAAATTACCTTGTATGTTAAGAGAAAATAAATATATTACTAGTATTATTACTTTAATTCATTTTACCGCCCTTTTTTTAAAAAAAGCGGTACATGTATTTTTAATTCTCGCAGTTACGAACACTTGACAGTTGGCTGCATGAGTTATTCTTTTGCCTATTTACTTAGTTCATTATTAGTAGGTTGATTTAAAAGTTTAGAGAAGTGGACAGTAATGGATTTTCATACTTAATTTGTAAGCTTTGGCCGGGAAGAAGTCGCCTGTTCCATAAATTACAAACCTTCCGTTTTTGTTTTTTGAAAGGAATGCAAACATTTCCGAGCATGTTTGAGAAAACAAATTTGTTGTTTAAATTTTTCGCAATACATTCATGTTGTAACTTATGTTGTACAGTCGATGCTCTAAGACACTTGACCCCCTAGTCGACTTTTTGGTTCTGAGAGCCTTCTTACGCATTCAACAGAAAATTATAAAGGAATTCCAGCTTTCTGGTTGAAAACTTCTTTTTTCTGCCGAAGTTTCAGATATACTTTTGTTGACATAATTTGTATGCGTCTGTTAAGTTAAAGTTAGTTTTTCTACATTGACCCTGTCGGGACACCAGAGATGGCGACACCATGAAAACCGGTGTGCAAGCCACTCGACCACGAAAGTCGTCAAAAATACATTAAAAATAATAATGTATTTATACGCAATAAAAGCCCTTTTGACTTATAATCACATGTTGATTTGTTATACCAAGGGTACGGATTCATCTTTACTAGTCATAACGTTACTATTTTAGAGATCACAATTCCGTGAGAAAAAATAAGCTTATTGACAGCAAATTAGAAAACATTTACTCTACTGCTTCATTGTAAAATGCTCTCACGACTCCACATTGAACACTGTTATATTTCTGGAAAACATCATTACACCGTTTATACATCTCTCTCCTGCAGTGAATCTATTCCAATATCTATATAAATAAATATCGTCCTTAATATGACGTCATCGTCGACGTCTTTTGGCATCGCAGTTGTGTATAAACAGTAACTAGAAAATCTATTTAAAGAAATATAAAAATACATCATTACGCTTTCACCTCTTAAGTCTGCAAAATTAATAAGTAAAATGTGTAATTACGCAAAATTAATAACAGAAAAAGTGCAAAATCTTTATATTTTTAGTTCATGTTTGCATAATGTAAGAGATTTATACTTTCTAAAATGATTACATGACTTAAGTGGTGCACAATATTTTTCAAGTGAGAGGGAAGTATGTTCTCATTCTAAACGATTTCAAAAATAGGGGTTCTCAATACCCGATCAACGTAAACCGATTTCGATGATTATTTTTTTGTGGAAAAGGGGTTACCCCAGTAGTGGTCCTGTTCAAATTTGAATAAAATATTCCATCTCCAAGAGTGGTAAATTAGGAGATGAATTCCATTTTATTGGATTACAGATTTCACACACCTTCCGTTAAGTTGGGCCTTTTCAAGGCAATATAATAGTTAGTAAACATTATTTAGGTATGCATGCTTCTTCGTCGATCTCATCATCACTAACCATCAGGTAAGATGTAGGTCAAATGCGCATTTATAAAAAGGAATTTAAAAAACAAAAATTCAATAAATAGGAAATGAAACTATTATTCCGGATTTAAATCGCGAATATTTGTTTTTTCAAACAAACCGGCGTTTCGGGCCCTTTACGGTTCCCATGGTCACGGTTGACTGACTGTGCAATAATTTCATTTCTTATGTGTAACAATCGGGAAAACCTAAGAACTCAATAATTTCAATAAAACTTGCCAAATAGGTAATTCCACAAAACTTTTCTTAATCTTTTAAGTTAATAATTACATAGTGCATAAGTTTCATGTTGGGCACTTATAACTAACCACAAATAAAATACACAACAATGGATTTAATTATATTTTATAAAACCAAACCAAAAAATTTTAACTGGCTCCGTAGCCGAACGGTTACCATGCCGGACTGCCACGCAGAGGTCCCAGGTTCGATTCCCGAACCGAGAGAAATGTATGGCTTACATTTATTTCTCTCGTGAGTTTGAGTGTAATTTGTGGTTGTCTATGTGTGTGTCCGTGGCACCCGCGACACAGGGTTTCCCTAGTGCGGGGCTATGTTGAGTGTGTGGGTTATTATTATTAAATACGAAAAACGAATGACGACCCTTGGGTGGAACTCGGCACTGCGCCGAAGGTAAGAACGATTCCCGTCTACACGGGATTATTCATTTCGCGTGGAATTTCGCCAATAAGGGTTTTACCACACTTATTACGGAATCAACTTAAGCCGGTCATACAATTCTTCATGTTCATGCAATTAGGGCGAGAAAGTAGTTGCATGTTTCGCTTCCACTCGGGTCGCGCCGATACGAATCACGCGACTTTTTCGTTCTTATTAGATGGATAACGTGAGAATATAAAATAGCAGCGTTCAAATTTTAAAAATTGCGCCCGGTGGAAAGCGACACGTTTATCCATAACGGTTGAAGTGCCGCTGAGAGCTTTAAAATCGCAAAGATCCGAGAGACACTCCCACTACTCCTGTCACTTGGAGACATAAGTTGAGAAGTTCCATGTGCCTGTAATTTCGTCAGCACTTTTACCCTTCAAAACCTAAACGCAATAATGCTCACATAACTGCTTGGCGGCAGAAATGAGTAAGGTGGCAGTACTTCCCTCGACAAATTCTTGCACAAGGAGCACTACTGCTACTAAACTAAATTAAACAAAATTGTTTTTTTAGACTTTGTGACCCAACAAAGATAGCTCTGAAAATTCATAAATTGCAATAGTTTGACATAGATTAAATTAAACTTTCATTAAACGTCCTATATAAGAGACAGATTCTTATTGGTGCAGCCTCCCCCCACATATAGCCAGCTCTTTGTTCTCTTTATAGCTTCTCATTGTGATATTCTTCTTTATTCACTGTACGTCATTCCTGGTCTTCTTCTCTTTCTTTTTCTCCTCAATTATACGTCTCACAAATCCGTTATTCATTACGTAACAACTGTCCAAACATTTACCGCTTTCTGTTCTCTATTGTATTTAAAAGACTTTTTTCTTCCCTAACCCTTTTTAAAACTTTTTCGTTTGATAATCTTCTCGATCCATTTTATGTTAATAAAAATTATTTTTACAAGTAAAATTTATTTAATTTACAAGAACGAAAAATCAACTTTTTTCTGAACGGCTTAAATTCCGAGTCGACAAGTGTGGCTAGTCCCTAAATGTTTATAATACTCAGATGAACGCACATTTAAAATCCATAGATTTTCAAAGAAGCGCGCATTCACGTGAAACAGATTCATTCAAGTTGTATTTTTACGTGAAATAAAGCGTGTTAAAAAATTATTGTGTGACATTTAAAAAAGTTGGAATAAAATAATTCATTATTAGAATACCACGCTTTCCGAACAGTAATGGTATAAGTATTGCATTGAATTATAAAAAATATATAGTAAAAATCTCTTTCATAGCCAATGTATATTTTTACAGAATAACGACTATAATATTATGAAGAATGAAACTCTACAAAAGTATATATATTTTTTCTGAGTGTTTTTTCTGAGTGTTCGATCTTTGTATTAATAATTATAACAAACTAGTGGAGTAATTTCACAAAAAATAATTGAATATCAATTCAATAAAAATTTAATTTCTACAAAAGTAATTAAAAAAGTCCTCACCTGTCGTGAAAATCATTATAATGCACAATATCCAATCTGAACAACTTATTGCTATTCAAAACACCACCACATACCAAATTTTCTAAATAATTTACATTACACAGCACCAAAATACAAATAAACAACTTCATTTTTAATTAAAATAAAGGAACTACACTCTAACATATACGTTGTTGTCAGAGACAACTAAAAACTAAATGTTAGCGGACTATTTTCGTCGTGTCATTTCATATTAGTTCTGAACACGTGGTTTTAGTACGTGAATAAAAAAATATCATCGAGCGCCCGTCACACCGTGGCCGCTGTATAACTATCACTAAATTAACACAAGCTGGTCTATTCTTTTATTACGACATTATTCTAAAGAACTTTATTAAACAAACTTACTTTTACCAGTCGTATCATTAGATATTCATGTTTCTTTGTGTATTATTAACATATTTATAAGACACAATATTCATTTTAAGACTGCATTTTATATTTGATATATCGACCTTATTGTATACGTGTGTCTTATTTATTTTGATCCTTGAGTCTATTACATAGAGAAGTATATAATTTTAGATTATGTCGCTATTTATTCAGAGTTCGTTTTACTCTGACTAACTTTAAATACCTGAATGGACTTCCTTTTGAAGATCCTTTGACAAATTGTATCCAATGTTCGACTTTAGAAAATGATAATGATCAAACCTTGCTCTCATTTACTAGTTGAAATAGAAAGAGAGATAAAGCTGTCATAATTTTTTTGTTAGGTTATGGTTGATTAACTGGTTCATATTTTAAATGAGCATAGTGTGTTTCGAATTCACAGACAACGTTTTTGAAATGATTGTGGCAGCACAAATTGTATTTCTTCTACTACTACGGTATTACCACAGAACAATAAATGCAGTAGAAATGCTTAGTGTAATATTTTTATTAATTATTTGCTAAAGTTGTCGAAACTTTAGTAACAAAAAGAAATATTTTTAAAGCGAACTAAAGAAACAACGTAGACATCTATCTAAACAAATAATACATTATTATCTTGCACTTACAATAAACTGTACAAGAAAGTAGTTCCTCGAGTGTGTACTTATTAATGAATAATCAAAGCTATCTATGAAATGCCAATGCTAATATTATTGTGAAGAACTACGAATATCCTCAATAAAAGACATTAAATGTATTGATTGTAATAAATATTATGATGTTTTAATAAAATGATATTAATTGGTTTTTAGTTAAATTATTCCACTATATATAATTATTATAATTCATTTTCCTAAGCTTAAATACACAACACTGTGTTGTTACTTTAGTTTTGACATGATATATTATTTAAAAGGAATTAATCATGTAATTCTATCATAAGCCTATAATAAAATATATGATAATTATTTTTTATGACAAAACAAATAACTGCCTATGTTGCAGAATGGTTACCATGGTGGACTGCCATGAAGAGGTCCCGGGTGCGATTCAAGGGCCAGCACAGTGTCTCGTCTAGTACAGGCTAGCGGGACAAAATTGTTTTTTGAGTTATTTTAATTGTTTATGTATATTGCAGATATATTATGCTATTTTAAGCTAAAAAAAAGTGGAAACCTGTGTACTGTAATGTGTGTAGACCCTACAATGGTGATGGCCTCACCACCTGACACGTAAGGTCACCAATTACGCGGTGAAATGTGGGTGATAGCTCTGTAATTAGGTGCCTCTGCCTTCTTCACAAACCTGTAAGGCACGAGTGTATTATTTTTTTACTATATAAAAGTATTAGGACATAGAAAAATAAAAAATAAATTTAAAAAATCATAAATGTTTATTGCACGTTGCCAATGACGTGTTCGGAAGGTATTTATTTACAATTTTTATATTTATACAATTAAATTAAATCAACGAACAATACAATAACAACAAAAATTATATTTTAGTAGTAAGTAACAAAATTGACACGTATAATAATAAATGTGCATTATATAACTAAAACACCTATAGTAAAATACTCTACAACTACATATTAAAACTAGATATAATAATTAATTACAATAATAAACAAGACCTAATTTATCTAATCTAAATGTAAAGACATTACAAAAATATTTAATGCTCATCTTCAGAGGATTCCTCATCATTACTCTCCAATTCGGTAGAGTCTGACAACACGTAATCCTCCTCATCAATTTCGCGAACTGATGATAACTGGGTTGGTAAGGAAGGTGGGATAACCAACTGCAGAACCTCCGCTGGCAAAGCAGTAATCTTCTTCTTCGGCACCTCTCTAAATGTGTTGATTACAGGATCGGACGTAATTAGGAGCATTCTCAAAAGATCTGTATTCGTGGCAATACGTGACCGCTTCCTAGTGTGTCGTTCACGGAATCTACGGCAATCTTTATTTCTTGCCTCCTGGGCTTCTTCGGAAAGCTGACCAATAGGAAGAAGGCAAGATTTAATTACTTCCGTACTGTGTACAAGAATCTTATGCACAGTAACGGGCATGGAGTACCACGAATACAGATCAAGGTATAATTTTCTTGTTTCAACGCAAAACTTTTCGAATTCTAAACAATTTATGTCGTATCCCGAAGACAAAGTTCTTAAAATTACATGAAATCTTTTAATAAGACTTACGTCCAATCCTGTTATTTCGCTACTCAATTCAGCATTAGAAAAAAATCTACGTGCTGTGTTTCCATCATTCGAGTTACCATACCCAGGTTTTGGTTCATCCACTATAAGACCCATACGATCTTTAAACATTTTTTGGATCTCTTGTGAGCGGTGCTTTACTACAGCTTTATCCTTGTCTCCTCTGACTTGCCACTTTTTTATTCCTAAACGATAGCTAATGTGAAGCATACATTCAAAAGTGCGGATCCATGCATGTAAAGCAGATAAGCCAAATTCATAGAGCTCTTTGTTGCTGGGATAGTTCCTCGACTCCTCGTTCATAGTAGACGGAGTAGCACCGCAAATATAACACTTTTGTGTTGAACGTGTGTCCGTTAAAGCGTTACACACTTTACCATCAGTCATCGTCAACAATAAGTCGTGTGTAACAAAGATTTGGGATCCATCAACGTTACATAATGTTGGAAGAAGCTGACTTATTTCATGTAAAATTTTAGTAGTTTCTTCTTTCGTAAACTCATTTGTCTCCTTGGCAAAAATAAACCTGATAGGACGGCAATATAAGGTTGAAGAAGGTCGTGGATTTTGCCAGATCACAGTTTCTCCGTCATGTAGTCTCAAGGGGACAAATGAGTATACAAACAGAAATTCGTCTGTAGCGCTGGTGTTCTCAAACCTCTGCTTATAAGTACTATGCCCTGAACTCCCATCACAACCCCATTTGCTTACCAACGTATACGATGAACGAGGTAACACACTTCTAATAACTTCACATTGAGCTTCAACTAATCGTTCAGCCGTTTTATTCAAAATCGCCTGAAGTTTAATTTCAGCTCGAGATTCAGTCACAGTAATGTGTTCGTCAGAAGGACAAGAAGCTTTGGATTTACCTAAACTGTACAATGATGGATACACTTGATGTCCCGCCTTCATTGACCACTTCCTAGTTTGCTTATATGAGTGACAAGTAGATTTGGAGTCTACGTAATAAGCTAACGCTTCGTCCGGAGTTAACTGCCTACTTTGTTCAGAACACTTATTCTTTTTTGGACTTTCGCCGATTTCTTTAATTTGTTTAGCAACACTTCGGTGCCCTTCCTTCCTAGTAGCTAATTCCGCGGCTACAGTAAGCTCACTTGCACTCCGAATTTCTAAAAGATCTTCTACTCTACGTCTCTTCGTTTTGAGCGATGAGTCGTCAAAGGATTTTTTGGGTCTGCCTACAGACCCAAGTCCTGATGATGTTGAAGGCTGCGGCTGGTGTGTACATATATTTATTACTATTCCCGAAGCCTCGAACCAATTTTTATGTTTGGTTAAAAACACTTCTTTATTAGATTTAGATGAAATCCACTTTTCATTTAGTATCGCGGAAAGACTTGAGATTTTCATCTTCAGGTTTTTCAGTGATTCGTTAGAAGCATTAGTAATATTATGTTTCTCACATATATAATCAAAAATGCGACTGTTTCTTGCATTTCTCATGTCTCAGCCATTCTTCGAAAAACTCCAATTTCGTCACAGTAATGACACGTTCTGAAAAAAGGACAATAATTTACTTGCGGGGCTTTTCGGGCTCTGAAATATATATGAATCTATGCCTGAAAGTTGTAAATATAATATACAGAAGTATCTAGATTTATATATTTAAATAAAAAAAGTTGCAGTCCTTTAAAGTTAACAATTAAGGAGAAATATGCAGGATTTTTTAAAAGATATTCAAACTCATATTGCACCAAAAATATACATGATTTTTTTGAAAAAAATACGTGATAATAGTGTACATACCTTCAACAGAATATTCCATCACAAAAAACACGTTTCACTTTGCTACCAATTTTAAGAGATGTTTTCACAAGTGTGCTAAAAATGCAACTGATTTATAAATGCAAATCGAACTCCCAAATCACTTACCTTTGACACCCGATAAAGTACCGTAATGAGGTATGACCTAATTAGTTCTTGGAATTCGGTACCTGTGAAGGGTTGTTTACAAGTCATTAACACTAATTTCTGGAAATGACGTCATGAATTTTGTCCCGCTAGCTTGTACTAGACGAAATACTGTGGCCAGGAGAAATATTTGTATGGCCTATATTTATTTTTCTCGTGAGTTTGGGTATAATTGGTAGTAGTCTATGTGTATGTCCATGGCAATCGCTATATAACTTCCGAATATAGAATCACTTAATTTTAAAAATAAAATGTCTCCATGAAACAAAGTGTCCTATCTACAATATTTAAAGTATTTTCCCTCTGTGCCCCATGTTTCGCCCTGTATAAATAGTGCTCGTATAAAGTTGTAATATCCAAATACAACAAGCAAAGATTCGAGCCATGATTATGAAGAGATTTTCGGTGCTATCTATTTTAACAGCAGAGCAGTATTATGTTTCATGTTTAAGGTTGCAGAGTACCAGCGCAATGTTTTTTGTACCACGGTAGACAACGCTTTTGCAGCCAGTATACTCGTATAAAAAGGGACATCCGGAACACAGGAAGGTGTCAATTGCACAAACGTTTAAATAAGAAGCATCTTGCGCGTGGCGTGGCGTGGCGTGAAGAGGGATCTTACAGGCACGCAGGATGGAGGTGGCTAGGGCTGTGCTTGTATCAACACTGCACTAGGTTCGTTCACGTTTGGACTCCATTTTCCATTTTACATCAGGTGGAATGGAGTCATCCTACCTATCATGTATAAAAAAATCATCTCTACATTTTTTTGTAACATTTATACATTAAAGTAACGCATGTGTACAAGGTTAGAAGCACGTCAAGCTAGAACAGAATACTCCACAATCTTATACTTAAACATTAGATAAGGTTAACTAACCATAAATTTTCAACTATTTAATAATACACATGCCGACAGAGTTAGCGGAAAAAACAATAAGAATACAAAACAATAGCGTTTATATTTAAATACATAAGAATACTACATGAAATAGCAATTAAATAACATATTTGACTTACAATTATTAATATAAAGAGGGAACACTTAGAATCCGGCCGGATCGAAGGAAAAATTCCTTAGGGTCGGCCGGATTCCAACTAACATCTTCTAGCAAACCGTGCCAGATGCTATACCAACTAAGCCACGGAACGAACCAGCGGACCTCACGAATTTTTGCTTGTTATAATGTGCTTGTTATCGGATCTTTGTATTTGGTTTTTCAACGTCTTTTTAGCGGTAGCGCCATCTATGAGAAATCGATGAAAGTATTTCGTCACCCAGTCAGGTAACTTTACAGCTACCAGCTCTGGCTAGAGATGTCGATATTAACTGTATTTTAATTTTTTATTGATTTGATGTTCAATTATTTTTTGTGAAATTACTCCATTCGTTTATTATAATTACTAAAACAAAGATTGAACACTTGAAAAAATTCCTTCGATCCAAACAAACAAACTAGTGGAATAATTTCACAAAAAATAATTGAATATCAATTCAATACAAATTTAAAATATTTGATTTAGTCATTCTATGTATATGGTAAAAATTCGAAACTAAAGAAAATATATTTTTTCAGATTTCTCATAGATGGCTACGACTAAAAAGTCATTGAAAAACCAAATACAAAGACACGGCAACAGGCACATAGAAAAATTCTTGAGGGCCGCTGAGTCGTTCCGTGGCTTAGTTGGTATAGCGTCTGGCACGGTATGCTAAAAGACGTCGGTTCGAATCCGGCCGGATCGGAGGATTTTTTTCTGAGGAGGAACACTCAGGTCTTCGATCTTTCTGCTTTTCGTCGTCAACTAAACTGGCTTCCCATCCGTGAACGCAGGTCCTTAAGAATTTTAACCACACTTTTCTCCATCTTGTTCGACCCGGCTGCACCTGATTATCTTAAATGTTCATTTCAATTTAAAAACGCTCGGGCAGGTTGCGAATTTCGATCTTCCCGTAGCCTTAAACTTTCTATTCCTTCTCATCGCACTGATTTTTTGTCTAATTCTTTTACCCTTCATGCAATTCGTCTTTGGAACGCGCTCCCGCTCCGTGTAAGACAAGCTCAGACCAAATTATCTTTCAAGCGTATGTTGCGCATCCATCTGTTTGACAATGTCAAAATTAAGACACTGTATAATGTTGCTTTGGGTACATATATCATATTATTTATTATTATGATATATATATGTAAGTTTATTACGTATGTATAATAAGTATGTTTATAGTATGTTATTTATTTATACCATACAAATTATCGATTAGTTTTCTAGTATATTGTACTTCTTGTTTAAGTGTAGCACCAACCTATTGTGTTTTTTTTTCTGTTGGCCCAATGGTTGACTGGTAGAGAATGCCTTATGCCATTAAGTCCGCCATTTGTACTTCAGTGTATTGTACAATATAGTTTAAATAAATAAATCTTTTTATTAATAATTATAACAAACTAATGAAGTAATTTCACAAAAAATAATTGAATATCAATTGAATAAAAATTAAAAAAATTTGTCTGAAGTTTACGAAATTTAACAAGAACACATAATTATCGATTCTAGTAGCACCTCTGGCGGTGTAGCTTTCCCCACACATGTGGAGCCACGCTATAGTGGCAATACATCACCGGATTAACGCTTGTGCAAGGAGCTTGACTGCACTATTTCGATCCTAAGAGACGTTTATCAAATAGCTACTTTATGTCTGATTGATATTTATTTAAACATAAACATTATTATAAACCAGCCGATGTGTGTATTTAGTTAAAATGCAAGTTACAAAAGATAATCTCTCGCCGTTAAAATATGGAGACTTACCTCATAAATGTAATTGACAAATGATTACACAGACTTCAAAGTTATTGCAAACTCGTATCTGGGTACGTGTCCAAGTGAGAACACGTTTACAATAATTTCTTTTTCACCTCAGTAAAACTTCTTCAGTAAACTTTTTTAAGTAACGTTTTAACTAATACTGTGGGGCCAAGTAACTTGAAATAAACGTATTATTATTATTGTTACAAAACAATATACTATTATTCTACAGATTACATGAACGGCGCCAATCTAATACTAACGATATCGCTTCAAGGTCTCCAGTTAGGTTAAGGCCTGACAGCTTATACAACAGCTTATTTAAATTAATTCCAAACAAGCAGCAAAAATTTCAGGCGCAATCTTGTTTAAAAAAAAATATTTAAAAAAACATAAACTCGACTGCAAAAATATTGAGCTGGAAAGATAAAAAAAATATTCCCCCTCACTATTTTGAATATTTCTCATAGCCTATGACACTTCCACCATCGAATCTAACGAGATATGCCTAAAGCCATCAAGTCGTTTAGGCAGTATACAGCGTGAAAAATAAACGGACATACATACATGCATATATTTGAAAAACACAACCCTCCAGCAGTCGGGTAAAAATAAAAAAATATTTAGAAGGTGATTTTATTTTACTTTTTTTTATATATCTTATTTATTTTAGGAATATTTATAGCTAAGCTAAGATTGTACTTATGAATATAAAAATACTTGTAGGTTGGGGGATTCACACATATTCGACGTCATCTACGTGCAGGTTTTATCAAAACGTTTAAACACATATAGCGCGAGGTATTGCAATGAAACATCCACATATGTACGTAACGTACAAATTAATATTAATGTATATATGCCGCTTCCAGCACACACGCAGAAAGTGAACCTTCTCGATACGGCACGTATTCTTCTGTGTAGTAGTAGCCCCTTGTGAAACAGTTCGTCCAAGAAAGTACCTATTTTTGTTTGTATGTGTTAGTAATGTGAACGTTACTGCATTTCGGTTTTCCAGGGTAAGGGTGCTGGTGAAATTACAGGGTACGTTGAACTTGTCAACTCTTGTCTCAGCGTGACGGGCGCAGTGACCGTGCCTCGCGGATCTATGCGATTGAAAGCTCTCAGTGGCACTGCAACTGTTATGGACATGTGGTAAGTAACCACCAGGCAAACGACTCGTTCGTCCCGTCACTTGGAATCATAAAATAAAGTATTGTTCGCCGATTCTTGAACCTGAAGGCCTGACCCCTGCCGACTGCGCCATTGCCGGGGAATACCGGCAATATATCATTTAAAAATTCATAATTAATCTTTTAGGCCATGGGTGACGTGAGAGTCTAAAATAGACAGATAATAATAACATAATTATTTATTCAGTAATAAATCACAAAGATCTGAGCGACAGTGCTACTGCGTTCGTCACCCTGAGAATAAGTTGACAAGTCTCAGATCCTGTTTTACTAGCCGTTTTAATTTTAGCAATTTAGCCCTTCAAAACCGGAACGCAGTAATAAATCCGGATCGTGACTGTCAAACAAATTCTTTAGATCGTTAGAAACATGTGACTGAATTTTACTATGATGAAAAATTCCGAACAAGAGATTGGTCGAGCAAACAATATCACAGAACCGAATACTCCACAAAATATTTTTAGACATAAGATAAGATTAACCAAGAACAAATGTTTAACTCTTTAATAATAGTATACATAGCCATTGTTCGTGTTTAAGGAAAAATCCATTCAGTTTTGATCAACATATACATGGTGCCAGATAATTAACTGCAAACCTTCAAAGAGCTTGTTTGGTGAGATTGATACTTTTCTTTTTTCAAGAGCGACACTTTTGAATTTTTTTTATGAATTTGATTAAATTCAACTCTATGCAGTACGATAAAAATCCAAAAACGTCAAAAATTCTTGACCGAACGTCAAAATTACTTCAAATGCTTTTGACAATCAAGAACATTTAATAGTAAAAAAGTAAAAGTCACAAATAAAGCGAACGAAGTACTTTCATGAATTTCTCATAGATGGCGCTACGGCTAAAAAGTCGTCAAAAAACCAAATACAAAGACCCGACAACAAGCGCATAGAAAAATTCGTAAGGTCCGCTGGTTCGTTCCGTGGCGTAGTTGGCATAGCGTCTGACACAGTTTGCTAGAAGACGTCGGTTCGGATCCGGCCGAATCGAAGATATTTTTTCTAAGTGTTTAA